GGGCGATAGCTGCGAGGTTCCCGAGTAGTTGCCAGTTGTTGGCGTGGCTGCTGACGAGGGCCGCGGCGTGTTGCTGCTCATTTGCGACGGAGAAGCTTGGCTGATGGAGGGTCTCTGAGGCTCGTGACTTTTACGCTTTCGCCGATTAGTGTCGCGTTCCGCCTTGTCGATGACGATCTTGGCGATGCGCTCAAACTCGGAGCACACGCCGAGCATACGGTGCACTCCACCGGTCTCAGCCTCTTGGCCGAGTGTGGAGAGGAACGTCACCACTAGATTCATCAGTTTCGTGTCCGACTTCGCTCGCGAGTCTAACGGGTTCTGCAGAATATGCCCGAAGAGCGTGACGAGTGCAGAGACAGGGAAGTAGAGAATAAGCCTGCAGTGTATTAGTACGGGATAAGGAGTGCGGGTAGAAACGTCGAGACACTCACCAAACGCAGGAAAAGTCGCCCTGCGGGATATACTTGAGCAGTTGGATACTTGCTCGCGCTGCGGATGCGCACAGAGCTGCAGATGCAAATACCCGTGGATTCAGAGGCCTGGGGTTCAGGCCCTGGATTGCGTAATTGGATAGTCGACTTGTCCAGTAGCCGTGATGTATAGACATGCGATGGATTGTAGTGAGTGCGTTGTAGTAAGAGAAATGTAACATGACCACATGGAGTATTAGGGGGGTATGGGACGCTTTTATTTCGTGTTCTGGTCGGAAGTCAATAGGGATGTTTTCCTTCCAAGTGTCTAGCTGTTTATCAAGCTCTCCTATGGTTTGCAGCAGCTCGCCTTCTGATAACTTGGTGGCTTTGGTTGAATAGAGTCTCTTATAAACCTGGCTTTCAATAACCGTTAATTCGCACATGGCTCGGAATAGATTCATCTTTCCCTTCCCGTCGGCAAGGGGGATGTTGCCAATATTGTCTATTGGATCGGCATCTGGGAGTTCTACATTCATGTCATCGTCATCCTGTGCTGGGGGCCGCCCAGATCGGAGACACAGATCCTTATCTAGCATATATGCTATCCAGAACACTCGTTTCCTTTGCTCGATTTCGACCGGGTTCAGATTAAAGCCACTTCCGCGCTTATGCAACCCGATACTGTGCGACAGTCTGATGGCTGCGGCAACCAGCAGAAACGACGGCTGAGGGTTGGGTGTCCCCTGCATAAAGGAGGCCATTCCGAGTAAAGCCTGCACGCTCAACAAGTCGGTATTGCGCATCGTTAATTCGGAGAAAACCCCCATAGCGTTCTTCATGTACGCCCACGACTTATCGTCCTCTTCCTGCGGTACTAGATTACTCATGACTCTAAGGCGATGCGCGATGGCTAATGCAACATTCAAGCTGGCCCACCATCCCGAACCCTGGTACGGGTCGTTGGAGTACTGCCTCTCAACAAGGTGCATAAACGTTGGTTGGTGGAACAGCGGGAACATGCAGTTGAAGTTGTCAAAATAGTCTTTGAGCAGGGATAAAGCTTCTGGCTTAGACGGTAACTGCCGATAAATTGGACGATGGAAAAGGTCACTAAAAATCTCGGGTTTCCAGTGATTCCATTTGTGATCATCGATGGATACTTCTGATATCATTTGTTGAAATGATCTGTCTCCCGTCTTTTCGTTTACCCACTGGATACCCTTCGGTGAGAATATAGAGAAACCCGACGATGACCCTAATGAAAGTGAAAGTTAGCCAAATTTCATCACGGGTTACATCTGTGGCTAGCTCGTGGTTAGTACCTATATATCTCGTCTCTCCGGACTGATTCGTTACTAATGAGCACATCATTTCAGATAAGGACTCGACTTCTTCATCCTTTGGTCGCTCGGGTTGCGGTGAGCTATCTTTCCTATTATCCCGATCTCTAGTCGGCTCTGGAGATGTTAGGGAACTTCGAGGGGTCGATGCTGCGCCATCGTGACCAGATGTCGCTTGCGATGGTGACGTAGGATTTGAAGTAGCTGCTTGAGAAGCTTGTCTCGACTGCTGATGCTTCTCGGCGAGACGTCTTTCTAGTGTAGCTAGATCGACTGATTCGTCATCGTCTCCGAGTAGGCCTTTTCTTATATTGTGAGCCAATGTAAGATGTACATTGTACGGTGAAGAACTCAGGACGTACCGGATAGCCTTAGCAAACTTTCCATGCGCCCCAAACGGTTCTCGAGACCCTCGATATACTTTGCACTATTCCTATAGGTCAGTCTCGAACCGCACTCAGTCGAATATGAATCTATGAATCACTCATACCCCTTGGGCGGACTTCTCTTCTTCTCGACTTGCGTGAAGACGCATTCCGTTTTATAGTTAATACAATGCGTGCACGCGGGAAGCTTTCCATCGCACTTGATTTTCTTCTTCCGACACATATCGCAAGCCTTCATTTAATCAGGTCAACCTATATGCAGCCGCACAACCGAAACTGGTGATAAACTCACCCGTGCAATTCTCCTTCTCTTTGCATCGTTCGGGTCGTCAAGCAACGCCGACGGATCAAAAGCCATTTGCGCCGCGAGTTCCGGATGTAATACGGGTAAGCCATCGTGACTATAAGTTCCGAATATCTGTGGTGGTTGGTTCATCAGTTGCGGACGGTGCATTCCTGGTATCTGGAAGCCCCCGGGATCGACTCTCATGTGATCCATGATCTCTCTTCCACGGACCCGGTCGTTGTTTCGGTTGGAGGTTGTCGCCCCGGGAGATAAGAAAATCGTCGGTGGTTATCGAGGTACACGACGTTATCGTGGGGTGGTTTTGGTTAATTAAGAGTGTTAATGTGAGTTGACGTTTTGGAGAAATAATTCAGCCTAGGTAACTTTCAGGTAGGTACTTTGTGTGGTACTAGGATTTTGCGGATTTAAAGTGTTCCCCCATGGACAGCGATCGATCTCCTTGCCTGTCTTTATCGAAATTGCCAACGGGTCTGTCTCCAGTCGAGACTCTTAGCAAGTGCGCTATTCGCTCGGTGAATTATCTCAGGGGGCTTGGGCCGGGTTTAAACGCCGGGCTGCGATGTACAAGGGCTCTGTACGATGTACCGCGGGTTCGTACTCGCTTTTTCCTTTCTAAACTTGGTACCAGATTGAAGATTCAGGCGCCAAGTAATACTGACTGAACACAAAGATATTTTAGGAACGACAATATGTATGGCTAGAGGCTAGACTATCATGTGGCGGGGCTTAGATGTCAAAGCCAATAGATTATTAGAAAGTGGCTTAAGGGAATTATTAATTATTCTTGTCTTTTTCCATAGGACGAAGGAGAAGGAAGAGAGAGAGAGAAAAAAAACAAATGAACTCGTAATATTTGAGACAAGCAGAATAGAAATTCTGTTGTCTGAGACCTTATGATGTCCGTTGGTAACGCTAGCTGACTTACTAACTAGTATTGACTGTCAGGGACGTGCGAGCAACTCCCCTCCTAGTCCAGACAATGATTCAGTGGGATCCAAGTTCCCCGCGAATCAGAATTCACTATGACAGCACCAAAGGGTCTAGGGTGGTGTTATGAGGGGATCCTTTCGCCCTGAGTACCGGCAGGGCCTAGTATGATAGACGCTTGAGTACCCTCGGTGCTCATGTCCTACGAGTTCCAAAAGTATCTATTCCATGATTTACAACTTAGTTAACTAACAAGATTTATCATCTTGTTGAAAAATCCTATATCAAGCCACTAGTTCCCCCTTAAGTTAAGACAATAAGACAATAGATTGTTGAAAAGGTCGAGAGTTCACTCGATCGGACAAAATGACACACTAGACCCTTGGATATTAGTGTACATAAAGAAAAGTTTCCGAGTCCTATCCTAGTTCAGCCCCTCTTGCCCTTTTTGGTAATCAGGAGAATCATGCCTTTTCCTAAGCGTCTTTTTCGAGGTCAGAACGCTATGTAGGAAGACCGGATTTCGGAGTTTATAACATATTAACTAGTTAACCAATAAAAACTAATACAATAACTATTTTCTTATAAGATTCTAAGATTTAAGAAGCTATTCTACGCATTTTCGAGTTAATCCAGTAAGCTTACCTACCTAGGTACGTATCCCGTCAAAATCGTGACGACATATAGTGGAAAACATCATATGATAATACTTATTCAAGTGCCACCAGAAAACGTTTGATGTCGGAGGCCGCCAACTACATGCACATGGTTAATAAGCTTCAATCCTTTCCCAGCGCTAGGTTACGTGCATCCCCGCCCTTAGACTTGGTCGCCTTGCAGGCAGCAGAGGTGATCTTGGTTTCATCCACCTAGGTAGTATGGGATGAGAATCTAGTCTAGGTTAGACTCAACACCCAAGCGGATGACGAGATCGATTTACAAGAGTGTGCGTTAGCGTCATCCGGGGTAAAGATACACTACATGGCGTACGGATCCGTAAACACCAATGAGCTACTAGACTTAACTTGACTCCGTCGCTTTTTCCGGGCTGGACGTTTGTCACCAAGCAGCATGGCGGTATGGTGGCATACATAATCCGATTTGTAATAACCGGCCAAAGCGTCAACAGAATCGTGGATAAGAGACCCGGGCGTGTTTCATAACCGTCTCAACTACTCATCTTCAACGAGCCCAACGAGCCCCTCTGTTCATCATATCACATTAGGTACCAGTGAAATGCAATATACGTTTGTGCTTATGAATAAATGCTTAGTAGCAGAGTAGCAATGCAAATTCATAGTGAAAGATTGCTTCTTAGACCATCCTGAATGGGAATGACGACATAGCTTAAGATCCGTACGCTTGACAGGCTTATTCACCGGCATAATAAGGCAAGTCATTCCACTCAAGTCCTGAAAACGGTTGTAACGCAAGATCCGAAATGACATAGACAAAATATGTTTGATGACAATTATGCTTGATTAAGAGCAGACCAGAGGAGATAGCTGCCGCAACCTCAACTCCCAAATATCGTGCTCTCATTGCCGTTATCCAGCCCGAAGGTCCGGAACGGCATTTGACTATATACAAGAAATGATATACATCTGACGTAGGGGCGAAAGCCAAAGGTAGCTTTCTATCCCCTTCCCCCATAACCCTTTGAGTTTTTATTTCAAATATCAACGCCAACCCGATGCCGTGACGAGTATATGTCGACACAAAATAACAAACAGGTATCATCACAAAAAAAGCGAAATGTACACAAGCAAAGATAAGAAAATAGGGTATCTATCCAGGGGGTCATAACTCCTCGGTAAACCGGGAGGCTGAACCGTGGGAACGACTCGACCCATCGTGAGAAGGGTGGGATCGTCCAAGTGGATCTGGAGGAGGCTCAAGTTCTGAACCGGGACTGAAAGGTACCTGTTCCGTCTTCGGTGTCCGAGCCGGTCCCGGGTTGAAGACCGGGATTCCGCTTTCCGGCCGCATCGGGGCGCCCACAGCTAACCTAGTAGGTGCAAGCCCACCGCCTAATCCAGGGAAGGCCGAGTCTCGATAATCGATGGACTGATCACTTAGAATAGTGTCGCGGGGATCCGAATAGCCATCTCCACCAAACTGAATAACCGGAGGCAACTTCCTCCCAGAAACCTTAGAAAATCCTCGTTCACCCCCATCCGCAGAAGCGGCACTGCGTCCGGAGAATCGTTTATTTCCAGTCAAGCTAGCGAGAGCCGCGGGAATTGCAAAGGGAACTGAACGCCGTCGTTTTTCAGACATACCGCCCTCTCCTCCTCCGCCGGGACCGGAATTCCCAACCAAACCGCCGCCGGGGCCTCGTTCACTCGTAGAACCCCGCATGAGCTTAAGGGTATTCTGGCGTTTCTTCCATCGGAGAAGGAAGAGAGCAAGAATCAAAATACCTGCAAGTGCAGCCACACCTCCTAGAACACTTCCTGCGACCGTGGCCGCCTCGGGTCCATTTGAACTAGAGTCGTCACCGGTAGATACGGTGTTCGTAGATGATGGCTGTGCATTGCCACCGCCAGCAGTACCGTCTCCCGTTTCGGTAGGTACTGCCCAAGAACCAAAAGTAGTCGACGTGGAGTCGGAGCGAGTGGTAGTCGACGGCGAAGAAGAAGTAGCAGTAGCAGTAGAAGAATCAGACGAAAGTACAGTACTAGATGACTCGGACGAAGAGGAATTGAAACCCTCAATGGAAAATGAAGGTAGCGAAGTAGAACTAGAACTAGTACTGTTGGGAGAAAGAGTGGACGAAGAAGAAGCTACGCACAAGTTAGAAACCAATAGCGGGACGATAGCGATGAATAATTATTTATATAATACTAATAATAATAATAACGATAATGATAATGATAATTAAAAATGAGAGACTTACATTGGGTTGTGTTAGTCACGCCAGCCAAAGATGGAAAAACGGGAGAGCCTGATAAAGGAGTGGACGTCAAAGGCGAATAAGATAATGTGGGAAAGATAGTAGGCATCGAAGACTCCGACGGTGCTACGGTCGGGTCTATCGTGGGAACGGAAGTCGAAGAAGAGAGGCTGTCGCCTGCATCGTCGCTGGTTCCCGGGGAAGAAGTAGGTAAACCTAGAGCGGAACTCGAACTCGAAATCGAACTCGAACTTGAACTTGTTGTCGAACTTGGACTTGAATTCGAACTTGTTGTTGTTGTGCTGGTCGGATCGACATTAACGTCGGGTTCGGAGCTAGTAGTAATATAGCTAGTAGACGACGACGACGACGCAGATGGTGTCGATGCGGATGGCGTGAGGGTCTGGGTAGTTATGGGGACACCGGCGGAATCGATAAGCTCAAGAACGGAAACGGTCGTGACGATTATAGTGGGTTCCGAATCGGTGCGTTTGTGGCCCCCTTTGTTACTGTTTTGAGAACGAGCGTGGTGGGTGTGCTGTGTACGTTGATGGTAATGATGGTGGTGGTGGTAGTGGCTGCTTTCTTCTCTAGAGTTGTGAAAATGACTGTGTTGATGTACGTCTCGGGTCTGAGGGAGTGAAGACCCCGAGACTGGGGTTGTCATCGCGCGTGGCGGTGAATTGGAGAAATACGAGCTTTTTTCGCTCAAAGTGCGTGCGTGCGTGTAAGCGTGTGTACTAGAATACTAGTTTTTTAGTTTTTTTTAGAGGCAGAGTCGGATTCGCTGGTGGATTTTGGGGGCGCGGTTTTGCGATTCGCGGTTCGTTGGCTTGGATGGACTCGTTTTTGGCCTAACTAAAAAGCTGCGGCTGGATGGCAGGTAAAAGAGCGAGAGAGAGAAAGAGAATGAATGCGTTAGTTAGGTTGCTGATCGTCCAGAATAGCATCCCATCATTATCGTATTAATTATCGTCCCCTATTCCTACTTCTTCTATCTTTGTGGTCCTTCTATCGTTGCCGGATCCTCATTGTTGGCGCGCGAGAGGGCTCTGGAACCGAAACATCGACACCCACAAGCGACGGACGGTCGGCCGGACGTTAAAGGTGAGGATAAAGAGAGGTAAAGGAGAGGAGAAATTAATGCAACCCAACGGCGGGAGCGTTTTGATAATATGTTTGCCAATCCAAAAAATTAAAATGAGATACTTCTCATCAGTGGACACCCCCCGAGCATCGTTAGCTTCGTCGGACGCTCAACATGGCACTGAATTTGGGGGCCTGTCTCGCTGTAAATGGACGACAATACTGGAAGGGTGATGCTGCTCATTTCGCTTGGGCTGAGCCTTGTCCCTCTGACCAGGGGGGTCATAGACATACGGACCAATCATACTTGATATTTACGGACAAGGACATGGGCAAGCCCTTCTACGATTGGTCCGTAAGACGGGGATTTCTTTACAAACATACATACCTAGCCTACGGACATCTCTTGCATCCTCATCATCACTAGGGCGTTGTACCATTCATGATGTTTTGTCTCTTGAGAAGCCCCTTTTAAGACTTTTCTATATATCCATTATGGTGGATATCAACTTGATTCGATAAGTAGGCAATTATATAGGTAGGTAGATAGGTAGGTATATATATATAAGCAGTGATATACCTAATATATCAAAACATTGGTGCACGGGCGAACGAATATAATTGTACTTCCCGATACCCCAAACCAACATGCCAAGCCTGCAACCAATGCAGGAACACGAAGTTTTAACTGCAGTACGCTAGGTTGACAACCTAAACCCGCACAAGGTTAGCCACAGGTCAGCAAGATGGTAGAATGATGATTCGATCCATTCGCGTGTAGCCGCCATATGCAAACCACCCGGTCCCCATCGTAGATTGGACAACTTATGGTTGGCGGGTAGCAGAGCAGCTCGTATTCCTTGGTGCAGATCTTGTCTATTGGAAAGCCACGCGATTGGGATTGATTGATTCCTCTGGCAGAGAAATGATTCATGACTGCGCTCGTGTGTCACCATCCGAACCCAAGTTTTCTCACTCCTACATACATACATACAGAAACTCTCACATCTTCCTTCTCCTCATCTTCTTCTGACTACTACCCGTATGTAGTCTGTTTGATCTAGGTACTCAGATCGGTTTGCGCTTACGGTTTAATATTAGATGGCGTCAGGGTCCCCAGGCCAAAAGGTGGACCGCCTTATTTGTACTGCGGGTGCTTACGCGCAGCTCTGGTAAACTTGGCTTTTCCAAAATCATCATGACTTAGGGGGATTGCGTCATAATTCATATGAGATTCTCCGGTGATGGGGTTAGTAATATCCAAAGTCTAAGGTAGAAAGAAAAGTGAGATTGTTTATTTTGCATAACAGGTATACCTTGGGCATCAATGTTTACTTGAGTAAAAGAAGGGATACGTACGCACGTATATATAGTAGTAACTGCCTAGGCATTAATTATGTTTGTTGTGAGACCACGAATCTCAAGCTAGGATACTCCTAGTTTAGCACAAGCTTCCAACTATATTAGCTTCGGTCCACACCCTATTTTTGCACCACTATCGTCGTCACTTTATCTTCCTAGCCTAATTGTACCCTAGCTAGATGATATCTAGCTCTTACGAAGCGTACGTTGCCCGTGTTTCAACATCTCTTTACGTGCGAAGCTTACAATACATGTTTTCAAAATTACTCGAAAAGGGCGGGCAAAAAGAATACCATGGTGTTGTGGTCTCGATCAAGGCTACTACAAATCAATACCTTTTTCATGCATCCTAAAAGAGATTGTCTCATCGCATCGTGATATACCAATACCTAGGTATGTAAGTCGCTTGCCAATGGTGGCGCTTATATTACCTAAGGTAATATCATCTCTTACTGAAGAACGGAGTTCACAGTCCGTCTTCAATTAACCTCAGGTCTTACAACAAAGAGATAAGCACTTTAAAACTTGATGTGCTAAGTCTGATTGAGCTATCGATTTTTTGTTAGATTTATCATTTTCCAATCAGGGAGGTGATACCAGCTTGGGAGGGTATCACCTTACAATAAGAGTAATTGTGGTACGGATTACCGGGTGGTGGTTTGTGTTGATGATCAAGTAAGTCTCACTTCCATCTAAACCCTAAAAGAGAAGCCGACAACTCCCTACGGCAAAGTAAAACAATAGATCTGCAAATAGGCTTGTTAGTAATGCGGCGTTGACCATCGGATAATGATCAATTAGAAAAAACCTCTTAGTTCACTTAGTTAGACAACTTCATAACAGTAACGTAACTACCGGAAAATTTCCTCCGTATTTTCATCAAAGCTGCGTACAAAGATACCTAGGCACATACCAAGAAACAGGTAGTCAACTGACAAACATCAAGAATATCAAAAGAGACATCTGAACAATATAGATAATAACGATACTCTCAACCCCCAGCCGTAGTCTATCGTTATAAAAGCGAAGCAGGTATCTAAACTAAGTCCAATATTCGAGAATCCCCAAACATCACCACCCTTCACTACCACGCCGCAATGTTGAAACTCAATGTTTGTGATTATGAAGCGGGCGAATAGTTATTCTCGAACTTATCTATACCCGATTCATTTCCATAGTCTTCTAGCACCCCATCGAGGTCTATTTTAAGCCTAGGTAAAGAAGGCTGTTGTATTTTGGAGCTGCATTGTTCTCGAACTCGTCCTCGACAATTTTGTGAGTATCTACCTACCGGAGGTACTCATACCCATCCATTCACATAAGTTGACTCATAGCTTTTAAAGTGTTCAGCTTAATTAAATCGCTACCTAGTCATTTATTGATCAAGCGTGCTATATAGCAGGGGGTTTGACGGACTGTGACAATCATATTAACAGTAGTAAAAGGTTATGCCGTCGGTTCGCATAACCCTTCTAAGGCACATCCCGAGTGTAAGGCGTATGTTCGAGGAAGTAATATGATTGGGATTGGAGCCATGTTCTAGTTGTACGATAAACTAACTTGAATAACTTGATTAGACCCATGCACATAGCAATGGTCATATTAATTCCGTCTTAGGGGTATCACGAAAATGTTTTGATGCTAATCTTATCGATCAATGCTCGTATTTTTTTCGGGGGTAGCCCGAATCAACGCCAAAACGCCGTCCAGTCATTCATATGCCCGTCCAAAATCTCCTAGGCGAACGATACCCTCTTCTTCTTGGGTTTAGTGGCCTTGGTCCCAGCAGATGCGACTTCCTTGATTCTAGCATCGTCGTCGTTCTCATTGGACTGCTTGGTCCTCTTCCTCTTTCTCCTCAGCGATTCCTTGGTCTCATCGAGCTTTGCCTTTTTCTCTTCCTCTTTCTTCTCCGCCTCGATCCTTCTCGCTTCGCGGATTTCTTCCATCTGTCGGGCCTTGATCATCTTGGACTCGATCTCTCCGTCCTTGTCGGCCTGTACCATAGCTAGAATCGTATTCATACTCTCCTATTAGCGCGGCGACACCTGTTAGTATTCATTCGTTGGCTGCAGTAGAATAACCACATGCGAACTGGCCGTACCTTGTCGTCCACGAAGACTTTGCCCTTCTTCTTCCCTTTAGGCTTCGTAACTCCGACCGGGGTCACCATATTCAATTCTGGGATACCTAATTCCTTCTCCGAGTAGACCCTCTTCTTTTTCTTCAGTAGGCCAGGAACGTTTTTCCCTTTTACTTGCTTCGAGAGCACCGGACCTTTCCGTTTCGACTTGACGATGCCATCCGACGGGCCTCCTTTTGACGACTTGCTAGAACTTATACCGGATTTATTCGCGGCATGTTTGTTTTTGACTGTTTTTGTTCTCGAAGGCGCCATTTTTACAGAAGTTTTGATGCGACGAGATGTAACTTTGAAGACTTTGGCGCGACCTGCAGATTGCAGAAATAAAAAATGTATGTACCTTCTTCTTATCAACGATAAGAGATTAAGCACACTGGTAGCGCAACCCACTTACTCAATTAGGAAAAGGAATTGGTGAATAAGCCGTCACATTTGTTTAGTTGGGAATTCATATACCTTAGGAAGTAGCTTCCAGATATAAGATCGGAGTTGCATATTTATTTCTACCATCTAAGCACATGAAAATCTGCTCTTTCAATGTCCGTATTAAGTTCGTACATAGCAACGAGCTTAGGTACACACGACACACAACATGCCTAATATTTATATCAACTTTCCGTTAACCTAGGACAGAATATGCAACTTAAGACAAGGATAGAAGGCAACGTGAATTCTAAAGAATGTACCATAATGCCAAAATGCGAAGACAAAAGCGGTAAGCTGGCTACAAGAACTTGCTGCCGAACATTCTGAACATCGGCATCTATGCCTAAAGCATAACTTAAAGTCATGCGCTTTACTCTTTACTCTTTACTCTGAACTCAATATACCCTGGTCTTCGGGACGGTCCGCTTATCGACTTTCTTCGAGTACCTTACAACGTCGTAAAGAGCTACGTTACTAATGTTTCAATAGAGCTATATTTCCAAAGAGAACAGGACATATAAGGCATTGAAGTCCATTATTTACCCTCGTAGGGTTTGATGGTTGAAGCTATGGATTTGAGAATGTAACCAGAGCTTACGAAGGATCTCCCGCGAGGTCTCGTCAGAATGGGGCACAACATGAATCCAGAACATGCGAACAAATACTCTTAGCACATAGGAACATGAGCAGATGAGGCAATCTTCAAGCCAGCTTCGAAAGTCACTCCAATCAAGATCCATGCAAATGCTAACGGAATTTTTTATTGCTTTTCTGGTTGGCCAGAATATACGTTATACATAGTTGGTACATAGGTAGCTATGCCCCACTGATCGTCAGAAGCCTTATGGTGGCCTGCAGGTGAGGTAGCGCTATAGAAAACCCTAAACTGAACAATTAGCTTAGTTGTGATTGGCCAATCGTCTGACGCTATAGCTTTCGCCTTCGCATAAGCCGATCCTCGGCGTATCTAAAATCTAAAAAATTACAACAGTTAATACAGGAAATCAATTCGGGAGTAGACAACATACCTATACCTAAACGAAAATGGGTTCTGAGAAAGCTACCCCGCGATGGGCAGCGTTTACCCGCGACACCAACGAAACCAAGATCCAGTTAGCTCTAAACCTCGATGGCGGGGCATTTCCCGAACATATTGACCCCCGCCTACAGACCTCCGTCGCCGAGGGCCATGCCAGCCAGTCGAGCAAATCGCAAACCATCAGCGTAAACACGGGCATCGGCTTTCTCGACCACATGCTCCACGCCCTGGCCAAGCACGCCGGCTGGAGTTTAGCCCTGGCCTGCAAGGGCGACCTCCACAGTACGAGCCCGCCCAGCAACATGACATGACATGATGATGAAGAACGAAGATCCGCTGACGAAGAGTAACCATCGCAAAGTCGACGACCACCATACTGCCGAGGACGTGTGCATAGCGCTCGGATACGCCTTCGCGAACGCGCTAGGCAGCGCCTCGGGTCTAGCACGCTTCGGATCAGCATATGCGCCGCTCGACGAGGCGCTCTCGCGCGCCGTCATCGACCTGTCGAACCGGCCGTACAGCGTCGTCGATCTCGGGCTCAAGCGCGAGAAGATCGGCGACCTGAGCACCGAGATGATCCCGCACTGCCTGCAGAGCTTTGCCCAGGGCGCCCGTGTTACCCTGCACGTCGACTGCCTCCGGGGCGAGAACGATCACCACCGCGCCGAGAGCGCTTTCAAGGCCCTTGCTGTTGCGATCAAGCAGGCTACTACTAGGATACCCGGGAAGGAGGGCGAGGTGCCGAGTACGAAGGGGACTTTGAGCGTATAGTTGTCTAATAGAAATGGTTAAACTTCTGACGAGAGTCGTATTTGCATGCTAAAGCCTCTATAGTGGTCCAGTTACCTAGTAGTTTAATATCTACTAAATTTGGTCTCACGCCTTACATTGATAGCTCCTTGAACGACCTCGAATTCATACGACAGCGGCTATCATCTTCAACTTGTCTATTCGGCTAACGACGAACATGCTTTACTTCTCATTTAACTTCATTCTATTATATTCATACCAGCCAAGCAAGATAAATGCCGGTGGCTAAGAGTCCTTACGTTACATACGTGATAGTAAACGATTAACTCGACGTGATCATTAGATTCCGCCACAATGTTCCCAGCCATGCCTAGCAATCTCATCAGGATTCGTATAAAGCAGCAAGCGACAGCATCCCATATGTCAACCCTGCGCAGGGTATCACTCCCAGTTCATACATATTTTTCCACTAAAAGGGTACCATTCCCCTCGTGTTCATGAACAGGCCCCTCAGTTAGAAGAGCGGTGTGCGCTTAGTAGCGGTAACCAGCCGGCGTAGTATGCGCTGTCGCCGTGCCGGTCTCAGGGTACGCAACTTGACCGTCGTACTGATATTTGTTATTGTGCACCCCGTTTTCGTGACCGACAGCCGTAGTCTCGGTGTTGTAGCTCTGGCGCATCTGGTCTGGGTGGGTGTGCTCAGGCAAGATGTTAGGATTTGGGCTATCTTCGGTCTTCTTTCGGCGGAAGAGTCCGAATATGCCTCTGCGCCCACCGTAACCTGACGTGTAGTTGTTGGCGGGACTAGGGCCAAAACGCTGTTCCTTACGTCGGTGGCGGACAAGGACAACCTCGAGAAGCGCAGAGAAGACAAAGAAGATACTGATGTATCAATTAGTACGTTATACGAATATACTCGAACAAGAACACTTACACTGCTACAACCGAAACGGCCAGACAAGCAGTTTCCATCTGGCAAACTTGTCTATAAGTAGGGTGCTGATCATTGATCAAGTCCTCAGCTTGACCGGTACCAAAAGGCGTATCGACCGTGCCGGTACAACTGCTGGCTCCACCCCGAGTGGCACTAGCAACGTAGATGTAGGACCCGACGAAGCAAATATCCAGCACAATGGCGATGAAAGAGGTGAATGGGTGACCGGCCAGACAACATAAGAGCAGAAGCCCGAGAATGGTGTAGAGCACACCGATACCCGAGATACCCTCAACGGCACGCGTCCATGTTGGTATGGGCAGATTACGGTTAGTAAGCACCGCGAGGAAGTATGAGAAAAGTGCGAGGACGAGAGCGCTGCAGCAGAATTGTACGCCGCGGATGAACCACTGGACTACTTTGAGCGCGAGACCTGCTTTGGCGCCCATGATGGCGGTTGTTTGCTAATTGGTACGATCAAATCGCAGTTGTGCGGGAGTAGTACGTTGTGGAATGGATCGGGAGTTGAGGTGAGATGAGATGAGGTGAGGTGAGGACGAGTAGAGTTGAGATGAGATGGAGAGCTTCCAGAGATTCCGGGGATAGGTTAAAAAAGGTCCAAGCGTGAAAGATTTGTGCAGGAGTAGCAATAATATAAACCGGGGACAAAGGACGAAGATTAAAATAATAGGTGGGTTAGGGTGAACAAGTGTGTGTCACTTTTTTCTTTTCTTAAGGCGGTCGGTCAATGAGAGGGAATTGACGCTACTTAGGATATATACATGGAAACGATATCGTTCGGGTTCCTCTACAAGCGGGAGGCCGATGATAGACGCAGTTTTCTACTCGATCTAATAAGGCTTTGTACATACATAAAAATTAACGATGACGAATGCGGTCAGAGTTTATCCCAATCTGCGCCCATTAGTGCATGTATAGCAAGGTACCGCCCCTCCACCAGCAAACAGTCCCCCAGTAAAGCTTCTCATTCGACGATGGCCCTGTCGCACTAGTGCCGATCTGCCGGCGTGACGTTGGGTCCCGACAGGGACAGAGAATGGTTAGCGTTGCTGATTGGCTACGAAGCTAACAAAGCCACAGAACTGCGTCATAGCTTGTGGCTTTCGGAAGTGGGAGGTAGGTTTGGCTGTTTAGCCACACTCTATTCCGTACTGTTAATGACGATCGTCATCCGCTTCATCCGTCGCAACAAGGAACCGCCTTGGTATATGTACCTTTGAAAAGAACACTAGATGCCAAGATGCTTTAGTAAAGGGGGATTCCCGGCATGTGAGTACTTCTAGCTAAGTTAGAGTACGCAGAAAGTTTCAAAGCTCTCTTCTTAAATATTACGGGTTCTTCCTTTCCGCGTTTTATTACATGGAAGAGTTGAGAAACCGATTAGTTATTCAACTTTCATTATTTTCTGTGGATTAGGTACCTATTTTAGTAGGAAGTACCCCCTTGATAGCCTACATATCGTTGGCCCGACATTTTATAAGATTTATGATACCTGGGATCAACAAGAATGAATATTTTTGTTTTATCTACCTTTATTATTGTCGAAACTTGAGTAGTAGCTATGGCGTTGCTAGTGTCATCAGCTTATTGATTTGGCTAATAATTATAGTTGCGAGTCTATGACTATAATACGCGTTATTCATATTATTTCCAATATTAGAGATCATGTTGGACTCGAATCAGTGGATAGATAGACCGAATCTAAGGCATGGGAGTTGATATTACAACATAATCGACTTAGTAATAAAGCATATACACCCACTTAACTCTAAGGTCTCCGAGAGCTTTGTAAAACACTTATCAACTACCTCTCAATAGTACCATACCCAGTCTAGGGGTATCCTAAGGGTGTGGCTATGGTTTACAAAAGCTGCGGAGCAATTTCATGAGCAATGCTGCAGCAGTTACCCGTGTCATTGCTGGAGTTATCTACCTGGATAACCTGCCGTGGACGTTGGGGATAGGTGTACTTTGGGTAAGTCGTTATTCGCGGATCGGTGCAGTATGTGTGTTAACCGACGCGTACTCACTTATTCTAAGAGGTAGCCTTGTCTAACTTGCGAAGGAATACGATGTATAATAAACTGTTTCTAGTTAGACTTTCACCAGCAAGCCATTTTGGCAAGCAACCGGTCATTGCAGTTCTTTCTCTGGTACCCTTCTTATATTGATCTGATTAACTAATTTTAGACAAGAAGTCAGCGAGATTATATATAAACATACCATCTTCAGCTTGGTAGATACAGCTGAGCCAAGTGTATATGATTGATGAACGGGTTAGAGCTGCTAATATAGCGAATGTGTCCTTTCTTACGACGGGAGAGCATCACTACTACGGCACTACGCTGAATAAGCCGCAAAACGGTCTCGCTATCAAAGTGAGTAGTATAAACGGTGTTCAATTTTCATCCATCTATTGTACGTGTTAAGAACATCCCATGCTACCGTAGTCTCAATGTCGTACTCATGGGAATCACGGATTTCTCATGTAGTATAGCAAGAGGCGCCCGCAATATACATACAGTTAACGTCTGCTGATTCTTGGTTAAGACACGTCTAGCTCATGTAGAAATCTGCCTATGTAGGCGTCCCCGCCGTGCTCTGCCTCTTGCTGCAATTCTCGTCCCTAGTGGCTGGGTAGATGATTGCACGATTGCTTACTGACATCCACCCACTCATGTTGGGAAGTAAACATGTGGTTAGGTCTAATATCAGGGGATCGTAGCTTAAGCACACCTCTTTACGCCTTGGGCTAATATGCGAATAAGAATTACTACTAGGCCTTAACCCTCTGTAGGTATAACAGATAGCTTCATCTTTTCGATTTGCTCTTTGCCTTGGAAGCCTTCTGCTTGTCTACGAAATCTTTGATGATGGCGTGGAGATCTTGATTTCGCCTGGCAAGTAGAAGGACATCTTCCGTATTGATGGTAGTGCGTCCTGCATGACGACTAAAGTTCTCTAGATCCAACGCAACGTTTTCTAGAATATGTTAGTTAGCCTATGTTACTATTATGATAGTGATGGTGATACCTATTTGAGCCCAGACCATCTCTGTCAAAGCGCCGATAAACTGGGGAGTGACATTTCTGTTCCTCCTCAGGGTCTCTTCGTCAACCATCTTCCCCACAGCGAACCATAGTGCAGCTTTTAGTTGCTGTTAGTTATAACTACTGAGTTAGCAAATATTTCATAGAGAACTGTTTTAAAATGCTCTCTCTCACCTCTCGCACTTCTTCCTCGGAATTATCGGCCATGACCGATTATGGTGCTCCGTCTAAATTTAGGACTTGTACAGTTTTAGGGGAGAGGAATCGGCAGTTGAACGCGTCTCGGTTACGTCAGACGCGTAGAGATAGTGAAAGTTTAAAGCTCTATGCAGTAAAGTTTTAGGGCTGTATATTTTATATTAGGGGACCGTGCGCGCTAAGCTAAGGTTACCAAGCGGCTTTTTTTCCTTTTGGATGCTTATTTCACGCGACAGGCAGGGATTCTGAACCATTCCTATTCCTACGGCTTAAAAAGTCTCACAAGCCTTGTACATATTTGCATGTCATTCATCAGTGTCCCATTACCGAATACTTTTGAGGCATTTGATACAATATTACGCAACGATTTAACTCCCAGCTTCTTTCTTTTCACTTTTCTCCTTTCTATTCCCTCGAGCTGCCGAACAATCTATTCCCTACAACGAGAAAGAGAATCATTTGCCTATCATGTCGGAACTCATAGATCTAGTCGCCCATCTATTCGATTCGATATCCGAGCTCTATACGCTGGTTCGAGACCGCTTTAGCAACAACGTCAGCGAGTCATTTAGTTCTATGACGCCGAAGGATTGGATTCGGCTAGTCATCATCGTTGGCGCATATGCGTTACTACGACCGTACATCATCAAATACGGCGCCAAACACCAAGAAAAGCAGCTCGAGAAACAGTTCGCAGAAGAAGAAGCAAAGCAAGCGGAAATATCGCCTAATCAACTACGCGGCGAGATCGGCATACCTGACGATAGCGACGACGACGAGGAACAAGCGGAAACTACGGCTTCGGATTGGGGAAAGAAGGCGCGCAAGCGTCAGAGGAACATGATAAAGAAGCTGCTGGATGCCGAGGAAAAGAGACTCCAAGAGCTACAAGAAGACGAAGAGGATAAGGATATTGAACAGTATCTAGTGGCAGACGACTAGGTAGTTATACCATGTACATAGGAAGAAGATATCGACATGCTTCATTACCTGTAGCTGGAATAGCAACAAAAAAAGACCACCTAATATTGGGTAATCAGCTATTTATTGTCCTCAATGTAACCGATCTAGTAGTATCTTATGGTGGTAACTACATAGTTATTATGAACCGAACTTTGTTGTTTGATATTCTATAGCTATATCCGTGATGCCATCTTCAAAATATTAATTATTATTTGGTTCGGCTGATAAATATGTCCATTTCGCGCATATTGTACAATACGTTGGGTCGGTTTCTTCTCCTTATCGCATAAAAGAGATGCGCTGCAGATTCTTAAATAAAAATGCCCTGTTACCTCCAAATGAGTCACGTGTGCAACGCAGTTAAGCAGTTAAGATAGCTTAGCTCATGAGCACTAATCTGCTTGGGGTTAATCTAGCACCACGGAAACTTTGGGATGATCACCCGCCGCATGTTTCTTACAGAGCGAGGCGAAATCGATTTCTAACACACGATTTATCTTAGAAACCGCTAGAACACCTTCCGGCATAAACCAACTCGTCCGGTTCCAATCCATTGCACTACCCGCCCGTAATATCGGCCGCTGCCGCTACCATCTATGTCCTCATGAGATAACTCGGCTCTCGACATTTTCCCATTCTTCACGGACCCTTGATATCTCCCCCGCCTTCACCGGCCTCAAGCTTTTGGACTAGCCCGGTATGTCAAGCTTATTGCGGCGGTCGACCGGTCTTGCGCGGGTCGCTAGCATTTCGCTCAGCGCCTCTGCCCGTTCTACTATACGATACTCGCGTCTACTACCCACCTCCCAGTCTGCCTGGGCAATCCAGCTACAGCGTTATTATTCCGAAAAGAAGCCCGAGAATTCCGGCGATGGGAAAGAAACCAGCCAAAATGGGGTGCCTGGGTCAAAAAATCCAAATTCGAAGCCCCCCCAAGTGAAGAACTATCGATCGCCGGGACCAGCGGAGGATGATGCGCCAGCAACATCTGGTCCTAAAAAGGACGACTCGTTCACACCGCGCCCGGACTGGATAAAACTGACTGACGAAGAGTTTGATGAATTGAGGCGAATATCAAATCTGACGGGTCTAGATAATACCAGGTTCTTGGAGATCTTACAAAAAACGGGAGTGCCTATAGAGTTTCGGGATCTAATTAGAAACTCTATAGGGAAGACTGTCGGCCCTGGTGAAGTTGGAAGAGCATGGAAGAGTCTGCAAAAGTTGAATGACTTGTTGAATGGTATGGACTCGGGAGAATTTCTTAAGAAGAGATCCAGCTACTTTAACGCATCAAAAAGACCTCGGGAGCAAGAGAGAAAGGAGCAGGGACGAGAAGAGCAGGACAATGGCCAGCAGAGGCCCAAAGAGGGCGAAAAGGGCTTCAACGGTTTCAACTCGAACAAGAAACCTCCAGGCCCTGACCCGAATATGAACCCGATGCGAGGAAACGACTGGCTTACGATGGTCGTGGGCTCGGCTATTGCGTACTGGCTTTACAATTCCTTGTTCGAAGAGAGTGGACGAGAAATCACATGGCAAGAACTGAGGAAGAACTTCTTAGACAAGGGTCTTGTTGAAAGAATGGTTATTCAGGGCCACCGAGTCCGCGTTGACCTTAACCGGGACGCGGTCCAGGCTATGTATCCTGACTCACCTGCGGCACGCCCTGGTTTCCACTACTACTTCTCTATCGCCTCTGCTGACGCCTTTGAAAGGCGGTTGGAAGAAGCACAGAACGAACTCGGAATTCCAAGCAACGAGAGGATTCCTGTTAGCTATGCCCCCGAAAGCCCATTCTTAAACCTCTTGATAGCGTTTGGCCCAACGGTACTACTTGTCGGTCTGCTCGTCTGGGCTTCACGACGTGGTCCCGGCGGTGCTGGTGGATCTAGCGGTATCTTTGGTTTCGGAAAGAGTAAGGCGAAGCGTTTTAGCCACGAGACTGCCATCAAAGTCAAGTTTTCGGATGTAGCCGGCATGGACGAAGCCAAGCAGGAGATCATGGAGTTCGTGAGCTTCCTCAAAAAGCCGGAACGCTTCCAAAGACTTGGCGCCAAAATTCCCCGTGGTGCGATTCTTGCCGGGCCTCCTGGAACTGGTAAGACGTTGCTTGCAAAAGCTACTGCGGGTGAATCTGGAGTGCCGTTCTTCAGCGTAAGCGGTTCCGAATTTGTAGAGATGTTCGTGGGTGTTGGTGCGTCTAGGGTCAGAGATCTCTTTGCTACGGCGCGAAAGAACACACCGTGCATCATCTTCATTGATGAGATTGATGCCATTGGTAGGTCTCGATCGGAGGGACAGCGGTTCGGAGGAAATGATGAGCGAGAAGCCACGCTTAACCAGATCCTCACGGAAATGGACGGTTTCAACACCACCGATCAGATTGTTGTCCTTGCCGGTACCAACCGAGTAGACGTTTTAGATAGGGCATTGATGCGACCTGGTCGATTTGATCGACATATCAATATTGACGCTCCGACAATGGCAGGACGGCAAGACATCTTCAAGGTGTATCTGAAGAAGATTGTGACGCATGAAGAATTTGAATATCTAAGCGGACGGCTCGCGTCTCTAACCCCGGGCTTCGCTGGTGCCGATATTGCGAACTGCGTAAACGAGGCCGCACTCATTGGTACGTTTATTGATCTATCTCATCAAACAAACGTAGACAAGATTACTAATAAGGAGTAGCTGCAAGGAACAATGCTGCATCAGTCACATTAAAGCACTTTGAACAAGCTATCGAGCGTGTAATTGGCGGTCTCGAGCGCAAGTCGCTCGTGCTAAACCCGCTAGAAAAGAAGACAGTAGCTTATCATGAGGCCGGACATGCTATCTGTGGCTGGTATTTTAGATATGCGGATCCGTTGCTCAAGGTTTCAATCATACCCCGAGGTAAAGGTCTCGGATATGCGCAATACGTGCCAGGAGATGCATACCTGATGAGCTACGAGCAGCTAATGGACCGGATGGCTATGACGTTAGGCGGCCGGATCTCAGAAGAAATCCACTTCCCTACGGTTACAACGGGAGCCAGTGACGACTTTGATAAGGTGACTCGAATGGCCACGGCTATGGTAACGCAATGGGGTATGTCAGAAAAAGTTGGGCCGCTACACTTCCGCAACGACGAGAGCAAGATCTACAAGCCTTTCTCCGAGGGGACGGGACAAGTTATCGACGCAGAAGTGAGACGTATTATAGAGCAGGCGTATAAGAAGTGCAAAGACCTTTTGCTGGAGAAAAAGAAGGAAGTAGGGCTTATTGCGGAGGAATTGTTAAAAAAGGAAGTGCTGGTTCGGGATGATATGGTGCGGATTTTAGGTCCTCGGCCGTTTAATGATAGGGACGACTTTTCTAAGTATTTCGGTGGTGATGCTAGGAAGGCGCCACCGGGGCCTCCGCCAGCACCGTCTTCGCCATCGCTTCCCGATGCTCCTGAGCCACCATCAAGCCCGAGCCCTGGATTGTTCAGGGAACTTAAGAGCGAGGATGATAGGTAGCAATTGTGTATATACGACCTAATAAGCTCGGGAGGCTATCTATTTCCGGCCAGGGGCTATCGAGGGCTCTCATCATGATATATGATGACACGAAGCTCTCAACTCATCCCATGTATATTTAAATAATGATAAGAAGGGAAAAAAGGGGGGCATGTCACCTCGCCGCGGCCTGCATATACTGTACAATACTAGATAGAAGTCTCATAATCGCAAGACACACTGGGCCGAAGTTCAGATGTAACAAGACAAAGTAGGTAGAGTTTCGTAGACGGCGCTGATGACGGCATTCCTTATTTGCTCATAAGAGTTTTGATTTCCCGCCCAGAATAACCCCCCCTTCCCCCGGCCCCGGATGCGGCCAGCGACCAGCGGGCCTCAGGAACACCTTTTTCTCCCGCTTAATCCCCCAGTCCCTGTGTGGGGAAGCGGCTCGGCAACATGAAAACTAACCTAAACCAACAGGCACTGGCCAAAATAAATGAGCCACACCACTAAAGCCCACCTAATTTCAACTAAAACACGATGATTTCAAATATGATTTTATACACAACGTCATAATAGGTAGCATTCAAAACTTATATAAATAAATAGAGCAAAAGGAGGCGATTCTTATACTATTATTATTATTATTATTATTTTAAATTGATTGGTTACGTTGTAATTGCGATATAAAGTTACCCCAAATTAACGATACTTTTAAAAGGGCTATTGGAATCTAAGCGATAAACGCACCAATAAAGACTGAGATTTAATACCAGATAGTTGGGAAGGTATTATATTAACTGGAGGAAATAGGATTGCATATTAGAACGTTTAAAATGCATTATTTTTACCTGTAATTGTCTTATATTCAACGATTATACTCAGTGGTGTTGAGTCTGTAAGTGGGATGTTTAGCTGGTGGGTGTGGCTCATTTATTTTGGCCAGTGCCTGACCAAGTAGAGCATACGTCAGGATGCCCATCTTGGATTAAGTAAGTAATATAGGCCCCTTTTTAAATAGAAAAAAAAAAGTCAAGTACACCGCCGGTCTAGGCTAATTAACTAATATTTTCTATAATAGTAACTAATTGTTCATCGACTTATTGATATTCGCGTCTAGATCGGCATCATCTAGAGTGTGTTACAGATAGATATGTCGTCGCTTGGACTCGAATTTATATTCTGGTTTAGCTAACAATCCATTGTTGTTTGTTACTTTACCTCTTTCATTGGGCTAGGTTCTAGGGACGTATTAATATACAGGCTCGATCTACTTTTACACCTAAGTTAGGGGGTTTGGTGCATAGGTATACATATATTAGGTACATATTGGTGAAGGTATTTACTATCACCTGAGCATCTATTCTATTCTATTCTATACACTAGTATACTATACTAACAAGGTCTTAAGCCTTAGCGGTGTCTGCTACGGACCTCTCGTCAAATTAGAATTGAGAATTTCTATCCCGTGCACACAATGTCGCAGACCGCAGACTCGCTGACCCTACCCACGGCAATGCATTCTTCTGGGGGCGGCGGCCACGGCGGGACAGCCGAGTCCGGAACCGGAGCTAACAACCCATCGCCGAGCGCCAGGATCCGGCAATGGACGAGTTCTTTGTTAACATCGTCGTCGCGCAATGCCTCCGGCCGCGGCGATAACGACGCGGAACGGGAACAGCACGCTGCGTATGGTACCCCCGATAGCTGGTGGAAGATCCATCTCTTCCGCGGCATGGTCAACGACGTGCGCCGCCGGCTGCCGTATTATTGGAGCGACTGGCGCGACGCGTGGGATTATCGCGTGGTGCCGTCGACGATTTATATGTATTTTGCTAAGTATGTGCTGCCCCGGACGGACCCTTTCGTGAGGGAAAGGGGAAAGAGAACAAACTAAAAACTAACATGACGTCCGTTCTAGTATCCTGCCCGCTCTGGCCTTCTCGCTGGACATGTTCACCAAAACGAATATGCAGTACGGCGTGAACGAGGTGCTCCTGGCCTCGGTGCTCGGCGCTGTGGTGTTTGCTATACTGGCTTGTCAGCCGTTGGTTATCGTCGGAGTTACGGGTCCTATTACGGTGTTTAATTAGTATGTTTACTCCTCCTGGATTATTATATCCCTGCGTCCTGCGTAGCATGCAGAGAAAGAAGACTGACTCAAGGAGCTAGTACCGTCTACGATATCATGTCACCCACCGGGACTAACTACCTGGCGTTCATGTGTTGGATCGGGCTATGGTCGCTTGTGTTCCATTGGATCCTCGCTATTACTAACTCGTGTAATTGGCTGCGATATGTGACGCGGTTCCCGTGCGACATCTTTGGGTTTTACGTCGCTTTTATCTACCTGCAAAAGGGGATCCAAGTGCTCGAGCGCTTCGGTGATGGGTCGCCCTTCTATCTATCTGTTATGGTGGCTCTGCTCGTCTTCATGGTCGCGTATGCGTGCGGTGAGCTAGGCGGTAGTCCCCTATTCCGTCACCCCGTTCGTGTCTTCCTTAAGGACTACGGCACACCGCTCACGGTTATCTTCTTCACTGGCTTCGTCCACTTTGGCCGCATGAAGAGCGTTGAGCTCGAGAAGCTCCCTACTAGTGCTGCTTTCTTCCCTACCGCGGATAGGGGTTGGCTCGTTCACTTCTGGGATATCTCTGTTGGCGATGTGTTTATTGCTATTCCTTTCGCTATGCTACTCACTATCTTATTCTATTTTGACCACAATGGTAAGTTATACCGAAGGATGGACCGATAGTCTTTCAACTTGGAGAGGATACTGACAGCGGCTACCTACCTAGTCTCATCGCTCATCGCACAAGGGACCGAGTTTCCCCTACGCAAGCCCGCGGGTTTCCACTGGGACTTGTTCTTACTAGGCCTCACTACGGGTGTTGCCGGCATCCTTGGACTACCTTTTCCAAACGGACTAATCCCTCAGGCTCCATTCCACACCGAGTCCCTATGCGTGACCAAGCTAGAGGCGGACACGGAGGAAAACGGCGAGGCGAAAGGTCACTACGTTCTCAAGCGGACACACGTGGTCGAGCAACGAGTTTCGAATCTAGCGCAGGGTCTCCTAACCCTCGGCACTATGACAGGCCCTCTCCTCGTCGTCCTACACCTGATCCCGCAAGCCGTTCTCGCTGGCCTGTTCTTCATCATGGGGTACCAGGCGCTCGAAGGCAACGGCATCACAGCTAAACTACTCTTCCTACTCCGCGACCGCGCCCTAACCCCCGGCGGCCACCCCCTTGCGAGCATCCCGCGCCGTGCTGCAGTATGGGCCTTCGTTGCCGTCGAACTCATCGCCTTCGGCGCTACGTTCGCCATCACGCAGACGGTCGCAGCCGTCGGCTTCCCCGTCGTCATCCTCGCGCTGATCCCGGTCCGCGCGCTCGTCCTGCCCCGCGTCTTCACGGCCCACGAGCTTGCCGTCTTGGACGAACCGACTGCCAGCCCGTTTACCATGGAGAGCGCGGGCGGCTCGTACGCTGCTGCGCCTGCTGCTACTGATACCTCTTCCGGCGTCCAGGAAGGTGTTCGTAATAGTACCGGTACGGGTGTCTTCGGGGATGCGACGGAAAGCGAACCGAGGAGAAAGAGCGAGGAGGTGCTTGCGGAGGAGGGCCGGGGGCGAACGGTCGAAAAGGAGCCGGGGGCGCGCGATGAGATTGAGATGAGTCGGTTGGGTGTTAGTAGGAGGGGCCAGGCTAGTCGGAGCGCGGGACACGAGGAGAGTTAGTATAGCGGAAGTTGAAGTAGGGGGGTCGTGCAAGTAGATATTTCGGTGCTAGATAGGTAATTTGGGTCTTTCAGGTGGAGTTTTGGGACGTGGATATAAAAGTAACGAAGAGTGTGTTATTTTTGACCTAGTAGGTAGATATTGAACGAACGTATATGGCCCGACGAAAATGAAGTACAGTTCATAACTTGATCGGGGCTTGGATGTATATAATGATGGAAGTGATCTTTAAAGATGATATCGTCGTGCATAACGTGGGAGCATAGGGTAAAATTAGGTTCCAAAGGCCTTGAGAGGTACTAAGCCGCGTTGTCTCGTGGCCTCCATGATACAGACGAGGAGGAATGAATATGGTCGAGTTATTTATCGGATTCTCGCTGGTAATATAATGGTCAGGCATCAGTAGTTTTATTTGGTTTGGCGGTTGGACTTTTGAATAGAGCAAGGTGCCAGAGCTTGTGGGTTGCTAATGTGCTATCCTTTTCTCTCGATACCTGCTTATAACCCAAGCTAGAATGGGACAAAGGCCAATGTATAATGACGGTCGGATTTGAAGATATCAAGGGCCAAAACGGTTATATATACCTAGATAGGCATCGTGGTCTATTTTTATTAACTTCTGTTCTCTATATTATATCTTGTCTCAGGTGACGGGAAACCACATGCTTCCAAGTTCGTATTGAAATTTCCCTTTTATATCTTCTTATACGTCCAATATATCTATTACTTGTTTACTCGTCTGAGATAGGTCGCTAGCAATATAGGGTATCGAGATGTGGTGTGGTGGTAGTTGTGTGGAATTACTCCGGCGTGCATAACACAGCTCGTTCGACTGATGAAATACCTGTTGTCCCTGGCATTATTCGGGGGATTCGAATCGTAGTAGCTACGATTGAATGGTCTAGGGAACTCGAATATGATGGTTTTGTTCACACGGGAAAGATGATCAGAGTATGTGTAGTACTGTGTGATTCGCTACTCGAGGTCTACCTAGATACCTAAGAGCACAGAAGGAAATCAGTCCAAGCTCCGAGTAACTCGAGCCTCGTGCAGTTGAAAGCCGTCTTTAATCCATTCAAAAAAGCAACTCAACGATTAAATATACCAATACTTCCCTTAAACTCTGCAGATATTCCTCCCGCCTGGTTGTTGGTAAAAGAACGAAGTGTAGTAGAGACTCTATTTCCAACCTCCGTTTCCAACAGACGGTTCTGGGGACGAGTTGAAAAAAGGGGTAAAATAAGGACGATGACGGAGGCATGTGTTGGAGTATATA